CGTCAAACGAATTTTTAACGAGTTTCAACGTGTATAACATGGAGACATTAACCGAACACTAAATAATTCTAATAAAAGTGCTTTTTTAAGGACAAGTCAACATAGAGAATATTGGCATGAGGTTCCGTCCTTGCCCCTGCGTTCCTTCTCTAAAAAGAATCTAATCTATCCTAACCCAAATTATTACATCTTTGCATATAGTTAGACATGTGAGTTTTAAGAGGACCTTTTCGACAATACTTAATAATATACAAAGATCTAATAAATGGAATTAGGTTAGGTTAGGTTAAGAGAGTTCAGTTGGGTCAGATCTTTTTCGAGAAGAGGTGCAAGGAAAGGCGAATCCTCCTTTGCTCATATGTACGATGTTTAACATCTTTTAATATACACTGTGTCGGAAAAGTAGGCTCCTCTTTAATAAAACTTCTTTCGCTAGAAATTTTTAATATACAATGAGCGATTGTTAAAACCTCTCGAGTGTTACTCGGGATAATGAGTTCTACAATGTATGTCAACATATCAAGATTATTGGAGGTGAATTCCCTAAACGTCATATTTAATCATCGGTTTGTATATATATATATATATATAGTTGCTGTACATATTATAGTTGTCCTCCAAGATTATAAAGCTCATACAATGCTACATTTTTATAATTGCGCTCCACTGTGCATCCGGAGGTGCTGCGAGATCCAAAGTAGATATCGTAATTACGACGACACATGATCAAGGTAATCTCAAGGATTCATCCGCATTTTGATAATTCAACAATAGCAGTGAAAGATCCGAGTCCGAATAATGTCCGCTGAAAGGGCACAGGTAAACGCGGCCTCTCACCGAGCGCGGTCATCTGTATCTTTCTCACGTAGAAGTTTGCTACTTCAAGTAAATGCAGACATCATGAAAAATTCAGCATGAGGCCTGATAGAATCGCGAGGTATCCGTTGCCGGAAAATTCGCTCCTACGGTACGATCATCTTTTCAATCACCATTCTACTCGCTCGCACTCTGCCATACTCACTTCCGCGAGAGACGAATTTAGGAAAGTACATCACGTTGGTAGCCCGAAGATGAAATCGTCTTCCTGCTTGAGATCGGGAAGTCGAGCGCGATAACGGCGCAGGAGAAAAATGCTGTCTCAAGGGAATTTGAGGAGTCGCAAATTTTTTGGGCAAACAATTTTAATGAGAACACGAGTCGAGAGGAAAGTAACGTCTCGAGCAGAGCGGAGAATCCGAGCTCAAATATCTCAACGTAACGAAATACTCTTGGCACATTCGAAAGCGAAATCTTAAACGCAACGCCCATATATTGCCCAGATATTATTAATTTACGAATGCGCGACGTTGAGAACAATATATTTGTATAAACATAATTATATCTATGTAATTATATTTATATAACAATGCAGTTATATGAAGTTTGTCATAACATCCGTTTCTAATAATTAGATAGATAATAATATCCTGATATCAATATCCTAATATTAATGCTGACAGAGTGTTAGCGATATATAATTTATTTATGTCTGCAATAATGTTGGGGAATATCTCTCTAAATACGTTGAAATAGACCGTTATCAGCGCAACTGCAGGCGCGGAAATATGCAGCTCCTTTTTGCGGGGGAAAAAGCTTTCTACGTACTTACGAAGAAACTCCGATGTCTGTATAGCGTCTATAGTGTACGCAAGTACGCATAGCGTCGCGACACAATGGGCAGATAAATATTAATAGAACGCGCGAGAGCGAGATTGTAAACACGCTCGATGTAATTCCACGAGACTGCGTAATAAAATAGGCGAGGGCGAACGCACAAAATGTCCGTTGCGAAGATATAAAACTCCCGGGCGAGGTATTGGCGAAATCTCGGCCCGGAAGCCGACGAGGAAACGAAAATGTCGCTCGCGTTGCACGCATTGACGAATTTTATTCGCACGAGCTATGAAATTTATGAGTAGCTTTAAAGGTTTACGTCCCGTAATGAAAAGCGCGTTTAAAAGTGTCGTCATTCCGTGCAGCGCCCATGGCGAGTTACATAATTGACGACGATGATGTGCGCTCTATTTTACACGAACTTACTTCACCGTCGAGGAGGAAGTTTGCGAAGTATGCGTTGTATAAAGCAACATGAATTTTTCCAAATCTACGCTCCGATGACCCGATGAAATTGACGATTTTCGTCAGATCTTCTGGAAGAAGCCGAGGAAACCGAATTTGTTTGAATTTCCTCCTCGGGGAGATACCAACGTGAGCTTTCTATGATAGATATTACGTTTGAAGTCTGTCTAGAATTGCGATCGAAGTCTTTCGAGGGGAAGTCAAACAATCGCTCGAATATCCGCTCGAATGATCATACGTATCGCGATCTAGTAAGTCGTCGTATTCTTACGCGAATAAAGCCCGACGAGTCATTAAAAGTTTCAAAGAGCGAAACTCCGGACGAAGACGTTGCGAGTTTTTTGAGCGGCCAATAATTAAGAATTATCCGTTCTCTTCCGCCTGTCGACACGCCATCGAGCGCGCCATCGAGACGTAACGATACGCCGCGAGATGATTGTCTTATTGTTGGCATTACTTTTTAATTGATGTCTTTCCAGCGAGTAAATATCAAGTGACGCCAATTATTTAGTTAGTTTCAGCGAACGTGTCTGAAGTTTCGGTGTATCGTGTATCCTACCTAACAAAGCATTGAATTAAAACTCTATTAAAGTGTGAAACTTACGCCCGGAGCAAACTAAAATACATAGTTTTGTGCGAGCTGTTTTCTCTCCTCCAAACTTTCTTTGTCGGACAGTTCTTATTTTCATTGGCTACATATTCGAGAGTCCCGAGTGTCTCCGATGTTCGTTAAGAGAAGATCGAAGTTGAGTTAGGATTGTTAAAGGATAATACGGGAGAAATGGAATGGCCTGCGTGTCGCGAAATCAATCAGTGAAGTCGCTTCTCTAGCGATGTTTCGATCTTGTATTTGCACCTTTTAATTATCCCATTCTCTGTATGCTTTCACTTGGGCTCGCGCGAGATTTGCTGATGGTCGCTAACGAGCTGTGATATACGCAAGTGATATTTATGATGATATCCTAATGAGGATGTTACTTGCACAGGTCTTAACATAATACCCGCGCAGCGTTCACGTTTCACGACTCTGGATTTACCGTTCAGACGATTAAATCATTCAACAGGATGCGAGCAATAATAAAACGCTCGTAAATCATTTTTGTTTGCGCTCAACATGACGTTCGCTCTCAAAAATGCTTCGGAAGCCGTCAGTCAGAGACACATTGAAATGAATTATTTTTTCATTCCTGCCCGCCGCGTGCGCAATCCAAACTTGTGGACCATCGAGTCATCAAATATTGCGATATAACGGTATAACCAATATTGCAGCATTAATCGAGTGTATTTCTTGAGAGAACGTGAAAATAGAGCTTTTCGATGCACATAAATAGATATCAAAATCATTTGATACTTATAGAGACAAATGCTCTCGCAGAGCATTTATAGAGACAAATGCTCTCTAAAGAGATAATATCGCCGAAAAAAAAATAGATATTACTCTCAAATATATTTGGTTATTTTTTTCACTTTGGTACACTACTAGTCACTTGTGGCGGCTACAACGTGTCGGTTAAATTAAATTTGCCATGTAAAAACTTTGAATCATGAGACATCCGTTATTAAAAGATGTGTTTCTGAAATGATTTATATTAAACGCCAAAAAACAGTTTCAATTTGTGTAGCGATATTGACAATTTAAATGAGAGTTATGCGAATATATTGGAGAGATTCTTTCTCTTATATCTAGCAACTGTATCTGACTTTATTTTGTTTTCAACCATGTCTGCATTTCTTTCCACGAATTAATGTGCAGGATGTTCCTTTTGAAAAGAAAAACTTCTGAAGATTAATCGGATCAAACTAACTGGATCTTAAACGGAGCAAAGAAGTCGAGTATTATTTTGTAAAAATCGCAATAGTTATTAGTGAAAATGACTTACACCTAGAGGCTCTTTTAATTGAGAACTTGAAAATTTGCGTACTTATTTGCAAAATCATAAAGGACTTTTTTTGTTCAGAGTAATCTAATCTACAATTACATGACGGCTATTGCGTTTAGCGATAGATATGAATATATTGAACTTTGAACCCTGAGTCTTGAACCTATCGCTAGGCATAATAGCCGTCATATAATTGTAGATTAGAGGTCATCCTGGAAAAAAGAAAGTTCTTTACCATTTTGCAAATAAGTACGCAAATCTTCAAGTTCTATCAATTAAAAGAGCCTCTAGATATAGTCACTTTCAATCGTACCATTAATAACTTAATAACTATCGCGATTTTTACAAAATCGTACTTGACCTTCCCTCTCAGTTCGATGTGATTAATCTTCATAATTTTTCGTTTCTAAAAGATTCTGGACGTCTTGTATATTTCAGTTTTCATTTCTCCCTTTAAATACAATGTCTATTTATTATTGTCAACGTTCTGTTTCGCTATTTAACGATATGTTGGATGCTTGGTTCGGTGACTTACATTACTTTACTAATAACTTGTTTTTGAATATTCTTAATTATTTTTTTTTGTTTAATAAGGTCATACAAGTTGTTCTTGCCACTTTGAATTTAAACGCTTCTGTAACTTTTGAACCATTATTAAATTGTGTGATTTTGGGACAGTTTGCTCACCAACCTTGACTGCATATTATCTTTGGTTTTACTTGAAAATAACTGTATTTGTTGAGGATGGTTCAAAGTTAGGATCGAAACGTTCAAGATTTTTGTATTTCTGTATGTCAATATATTTACACGTTTAGATTTGCGTTTTGGCTCTTATTAGCCTAATGTCCAATTAACTTGTTAAACTTGTTAAATTTTTTACTTAAAAATTTTAACTTGTTAAACTTACTACTTTCACACAGACTCTTTCCTTTCTACCTGTACAGATCTTTCCAAGCGTTTTCAAAAGTTGAAATCTGAGGAACCTTTTAATTTTTGTTACAGTGCGTGCAAATGGCGCACGCGTTAAGACGCATCTCTTACGCAACTTGTGAGCCGCAGCATGCCCAATTCAGCTTTCTAGCGCGGGAACCCAGGGCCCACTTTAGCCTACAGTACTGTCATTCCTTCATCACCGAGTCTGCAGAACAGGTCAGTGACTTTCTCTTTGATATTTTGTCTCCTTACCGGCGCGTCCCGACCCGAAAGGAGATAATATTTAAAAGACGTAAAAGATGTAAAGGGTTGCGCAGTGAAGTTTCTGCAGGTACAATTGTAAAACCGAGTACTGTAAATCAATAAAGCAAACCTTCTAAAGTCGATCTGTTGAAACTATAAACGTAACCACTGAAGAAACACGCGGGTCGTAAACGTCTGCGTGTCCCTTTTTAATAAAACATGCTGCAGCAGGCTTGAACAGTCTTTTGTCAGACTCTTTTATCAGATTGTCGAAAACACCGTTGTTTCTCCAACGTGTTCAGCGTTTTGGATTTTGCATCGTTCTTATAGCTAAAATTTCACAAAAGAGATGACTGACCTGCGCAATTATTCAGATTTCTTTTCGCATTCAAATTAGGAAAACAAATGTATGTATATAAATACACATCACTGTTGCGGGGTCGAATACGAAGCAATGACATCGTCAAGGTCTATCTGTGATAATGAAAAGTGATCATGAAAAGCGATTTTGTAAGTGTGTGCGTATGAAAATAGTACAATCGTGCACGATGAAGAGTGGGATATGCAGCGAAATACATTCTGCCTTTGCTCGCAAGATACTCCGAGTAAATCGGTCTAATATAAATCGCCGTCAGTAACCCGGGATTTGGCTTCAAATACTGCACGTGACAGGTCGCCCCTTACCAGTGGACAACCGCATGCGTCTCAAGTGGAAACTGGAAACTGTCTCGACGTTTAAAGCCGATGGCTCGCTCCCCACGGTTACGGCTGACTCTTTCGGTGTTTAGGACGAAACCGTGTTAACAGGGAAACGTTTGCTTCCCCGTGTATCACCGACGTCTTCTCCCACCTCCATTGTCCACTTTGCCGAATCCATGCCGAATTCAATACCTCGGCTGTACTTTATAGCTTTCTGATGACAGTGATGTCGTGAAAGATTCATTTGAACGAGCCATCAAGTCCAGATACATACCGCAAAGAACAAAATGGACAAAGATGGATTCCCCTCTAATGGTTTGTTTTCAGTCCTTGCGGTTTTGTCCTTTCTGTAGGAGGCCTAGGAATTTTGACCTGCCGCGAGGACTTTGAAGTTATTCCGGCAACACCTCGAAACTTTCCCGCGCGGGTTGACATAACGACACAATGCTGTCGAGTGAAAAAATTAAAGTCATCATGTTCTCTCTCTCTCTCTGATGTGCTTGATTCAGGTTTTAAATTCATCTTGAGTCATGAATGAGCAATCGCAAGACGTCACGTTGATCTTACTCGTCGAGAAACGTAGTAATCGCGTAAAGTATCGGGAGAAAGAACACGTCTTCATGTTTCGGGCAGCGAACACACGGCAAATATCGTCGGACGTCGATACACCGACGACTACCGACGAATCCTAAGACCTAAAAGCCTCTTCCTGTTGTCTGGAAAATAGCATCGCTCGAGGCTGCCGAGCGAGGTCCGTCGGCGATATCAGAAAGGATAGAGCTGTAAGTTGGCGAGCACGGTGGGTTGAGAATAGTAGACTTTGCACTTGGAACTTTGCACTCCGTTATTGGCTTGACATTTAGTCAACCCTAATGGCGCACTCTTCGGATTAAACTTTAAATACCTTCCGCTGAATTAAGAATGTCATCGCACTTGAAGATCCCAGATCGGGAAAGCGCAGAGGCAGAGGCCCTGCAACGTGGGAGGCCGAGAGAATAGAAACGGAAAATGAAGCGTCTTAGAGAGGAGCTGGCCGGATATTCGGACATTTCCACGCTCGTCGACATCCGCGCGCCGACTTCGGTCCGCCGTGCAATTTTCATGGTCTGTGCCGCGAGCGACTCGTCGATACGCGCGTGCAAATTGAGGAAATATGAGAGATTCAAAATTATTTTCTGAAATAAAAGTGGAAGGACGAATTACCGTGTGACTTTTTTCGCTCGCTCCACTCTTCGTTCAAGCGAATGCTGAATTGTGCATTCAATGACTGATCTCCGGCTGAGTATCTACGTAGTTGCGGACGTTTCCGCGCAGTTCCACGAAAATTCGTATTTTTCCAATTTTCCTTTCAGGGGACGAAATTAAATGTGATGGCAGGCAACGTTGGGCCATCGGTATAAATTGGAAAAGCTGAATTTACGCTTTGAAGCGGAATATGTGCTCTACGCGATGGTTTCTTCTTCCTCTTCTGTCTCGGAATTTTAATCGAGCGGAAATCATAATCGGATATACATACATGGATTGCCCAATTATGAAAAGAAAGTCGTTCTTTTAATTTGCTATCGCTGTTTTCCAATTCTTTTTTTTTTTTTTTGTAAAGCACGAACGACGGTAGCGTATACGCACCTGTCGGCTTCTCTATCTCATGCAAATTTCTGAACTTTGAACGGAGTTTTGCCAACACGGTGTTCCACGAGATTGCTTACGGAGAGCGAAAGAAAATCTCAAACTTAAAGGAGATTACGAAAAGAGAGGGTATACGTATACACACTCGTGGAGAATGCTTGGAAACACTTTACCTTCGGCATTCACGGGAGATCTCACGCGAAATGTTAACATGAATAAATTTACACGTTGGAAACATTGGGACACGATGTCCTCGCAGAAAGTTGGCGATTCCGTGTCCGTTTCTTCACACTGACCCGAAAGAATGCACCTTGAAGTGCGCCTTGAAAACAGGTACAGGTGCCTTTCAAGGAAGTATCTACTGCTGGTACTCACCTTGAAGCACAAGGGAGTACCTAGTGCTGGTATCACCGGAGCGCTCAAAATCGCAACCGGCTGCGTACTTTAAAACGTACTCCAAGACATAGCCGAGTACGAGAGGAGGTACTTGCACTTGGGTACTTCGCCATGAGTGGACAAGATGCGAATCCAAGTCCGAAGTCCACGATCGAACGGCGCGCCGTGCCGCGCTGCGCTGATGGCAGGTCAAAGAACGCGAATCGCAAACTCATGCGCTCCGTGCGGCTCAAGTTCTCTCTCTCTCTCTCTCTCTCTCTCTCTCTCTCTCTCTCTCTCTCTCTCTCTCTCTCCCTCCCTCTCTCTCTCTCTCTTTCTGTCCCCGTCCCCCCCCTCTCACTCTCTCTCTCTCTCTCTCCCAAGTGGCGTTCTCGGTCGAGGTAGGGTAAAGGAAGTAAGAAGCCGTGGAAAAGACCATGAGAGGGATCGAGAAAGAGAGAGAGAGAGAGAGAGAGAGAGAGAGAGAGAGTGAGTGAGAGAGAGAGAGAGAGAGAGAGAGAAAGGGACGGACAGACAGCCGGCCAGACAGAAGAAGAAAGAGGGAGAGACCGCGAGGGACAGCGAGGGTGAGAGGAAGAACGGGGACACGTGGTATTCAACAGCTGCCGTTGAACGTGTTCAATGCCGCGGTTGAAGCAAGAAAGCGGTCGGTCGGTCGGTCGCACCGCTCGGCTTCCAGCCGCGGTGGGGATGGAACCGTGTGGGTCGGCAGAGTGGCGCGGTGCTCTCGCTTCGTGTTCCTCATGGTCTTCAGTCTCTCTCTCTATACGTACCGGGAGGTATTGCCATCGCCGTGGCGGTTAGCACGTTACACAGGTAGGCGGCTTTTGCGTGCTCCGATCGTCCGAGAGCAGCGACGGCACCTGGATGGCGGCGACGTGCGCTGGAGTGTGATAGAAGGAGCCGGGAATGAACAGAGGAAGGTAGCGGGACAGAGGAGGCTCCACCACCACCACCACCATCACCACCACCACCACCACCACCACCACCATCATCACCACCGCCGGGGTGTTCGCGGCCGGTAGCTTCTCCAGTTGACAGCAGAAAGGATACGCGTGAACCATGCGGCTCTCGCACTCTTTAAACGCTCGAACTTAACGAACGGCTCGTCGTCTCCCGCGTGAATACCCGCTCCGGCGCGCCGGTACCGCGGAGACTCTCGGCATGCCTGACCAGAGAGGGAAAGAGAGAGAGAGAGAGAGAGTGAGTGAGAGAGCGATGCTGAGGGGGAGCTTTGACGCTGGAATTTGCCACGTAAAATAGAACGACATAGCAGAAGCCGCGCGCTTGGTTGACCGACGAGTGGTGGTCCCGCGGGAACGTAACCGAGACCTGAGGTGAAGAGGCAACAGAGGGAAGCCGGCAAGGAGCATCGCACCGGGAAGTAGCAAAATTCATTCGCGAGTCGATCAACAAAATCCGAGCGAGCTTTCTCTCTCTCTCTCTCTCTCTCTCGTCACCGCGGCGCCGGGATCCCGCCGGGCGAGAGAGCCACGCGAGAGAGGGACTACGAGAGGTACTCTCGGCTCTGCCGGCTACGCGCTACATGATGCCCAACATGGTGCCGGCGACGGCGACCGTCCCGCGGGCGGATTCATCGGGAAACGCGGCGTAGAAGAATATCGCGACCACGTACGTGTAGTTGACAGTCGACGAGTAAGAAGCGAGATACGGCTCGGGCCTCGTTAACCGGTTTCCGCGGCTCGGCATGCAGAACAACACGTAGCGAGAGGGACTACGCACGTCATACGAGTGGAAGAACTCACGCTCCTCCATGCGTGCTCCTCCGCGCACGTAGGCCGGTGAGACCGGTCCCGCGGATCCATGACATCGCGCGAGATCGTCACCTGCTAACAATAGCGAGCATCGCGGGAGACTTGAACGCCGCGGGAGGAAATTCGCGGAGCGGAGGGAGATCATCAGCCCGGACTCTCTCTCTCTCTCCCCCGCCCCCCCCCCGACCGCTCTCCAGGATGCGTGTTACGTCGGCGTTACGTCGCGACCGGGACCAGCATTCCCAGGCCTGTTAGCGTGGAACGAGAGGTGCGCGCCCGCTCTCGTCCCACTCCCGGAGATGTAGAGTACGAGACGCTTCGTGATTTTTCAAGAGACGGCCTGGGCCTGGGTTGCGAGAACGTTGTGGGAGAATATCGCGTCGCAGAAGAAGAGGAATATTCTCCGAGAGAAAGAGAGAGAGAGTGAGAGAGAGAGAGAGAGAGAGAGAGAGAGAGAGGAGAGAGAGGGAGAGAGAG